GGTTTATGGATGCCCACAAAGTCATGTAGCATAGACTGTATGACTGTCTTGGGAGGCAAGTCCGGATGGGCACTGGTGGTTTTCTCGTCCCAATCGTCGGACGAGGGCTGCGAGTCCGGAAAGGCAATTGTTACTCTCTGCTGCAGCTGACATTCTACCTTATGCCGCCTCCAGTCTTGCTTCTGACAGCTTCTCGACTATTTGATGGAGTGAGACCGATCTTATCGTGACCCCTTGTTAAGAGTGGACCTACACAGTAGAAAGCCGTTTTGCAACCGGAACAACGCTGCAATTCCCGACCAGCCTGATCTGCGTCCGAGGTCTGCATTCCACACAATCGGCAGTGAGGCTCGGCAATCTTCGAGATGGCAGCGTCTGTGCAAAGAGACTCGTAGACCAGCCTACTAGGCACGACGTGAAGGCCGTGTGCCGGTGCCCTAGGATCGTCAGACATTTGACGTCGAGATATTGAAGCGATCGTTGTGCACAAGCTTGAAGCTGGGGATGTCGTTGTAGAAGGACTGTACTATTCTTGAGCAGTGCTGGTGGTTTAAGAGCAAGTCGTACTGCTTCGTATGACACCATGGGAAGGACAATACCACTTCGGTCGGCCAACTCACACTCGAGTCAGCCGTAGCGTGACCAGCTAGCCCCTTCTCTACCACTTAGCAACACGTTCATCCTTATTAAGGGTTCAACATAGCCAATAGATACTCTTGGAATCTGAAATATGCACTGTACAGTTTTCAGCGGATGAAAGGTCGCCATGCTATGTGGGAGTCAGAAAGCGGCAAGGTGATTTGGTGACTGGTCACGGCTTGCCGTCGACGGCGCGAATGTGGGGATACAGCGTTATACGTGGACCACCGCGGATCCACTGGGGGCCGGACTTCGGCTTCCCGATCCGCGTGGCAGCTCCGACCGGAGAGAGTTACCACATCACGATCGCGGAGGCAGCTGTCCAGGAACGTACCGCGGCAGGTTACTTTTCCCTTCATTCAGGCTTTGACCTGCTTTGCCGATAAGTCAAGCATGTCCTGCTTGCTGTGGCACTGCGTCGCTCCGTGCAAGCACCGCCCGCAGATGTTCCTCGTATGCACTGTATGATTCCCGCGTTTGCCGCCTAGCCGAATGCCAAGAGCGATGGGCGATATGTGAGAGCGACGACCGCGAGCGTCCGAGGGAAGATTTGATGTTGTGCCCGCCTTTCGATCAATCCGTGCCGGATTGTTTATACAGTTACAACCTGACCACTAGGCACACCGTCTGCTTCTCTTTCTCCAGCGACCACCTGCCTTGGGCCATGGCGGTCCCAACACCTACCCTCCTCTCGCAGTTCATGCGTACCCGGCGCCACGTATGCTTACTACTCTTCGCCTTTGCCTTCCTTTCGCTCTTCACATGGCGCGGACCTTCAGTATCTCTCAGTCGATTATCATGGCGCCATAGCAGTCAAGATGCGGAGATTGCCTTGTTACAAAACAAGGTATACGAGCTCCAGTGGAGCGACAAGCCGACATGTCTATGGCAGCGCTTCCACGAAGACCGATACTCGCAGTTGGGAACGGATAACAAGACGGTGTACATCGCGATGAACTTCTACAACAACGAATACGTGCTGCCGACGTTCTTCCAAGAATTTCCGCACGTCGTACGGAGGATTGGCACGGGGCGCGTCTTCGTTTCCATATACGAGAACGGCTCGGAAGATAAGACACCCGAGCTGCTTGGGATGTGTGCGTGGTTCATTCCACTTCCAAATCTGGTCGTGTGCTCACAAATATGATCAGTCGGGGATATGCTCACTATGCTGGGCGTCGCGCATCATATCGTCGCAAAGGGCAAGAGCGAGTACTCGCACAAGGAGAACGGACATCGCATCAACGAACTGGCCAGGTTCCGAAATCTCGCCATGAAGCCCCTCTACGACGGCGTCGCGGCTCGCTTCGTGCCAGGTCACAAATTTGACGAGGTTCTCTGGATCAACGATGTATTCCACTGTGCAGCCGACATCTTCGAAGTTCTCCTGCAGAAGCGTGTACAAGGCGCGAATCAAGCATGCGCGGTGGACTGGGGAGGTTGGGGAGATCATGTCATCTACGATGTGAGTTCTCACACACGTCAACATGGAACTCAGTACTGACATGTGGCGGCAGCGCTGGGTTCTGCGTACCATGACTGGCAGGTGCGTTCGCTCATACCGCGTCATCCTATCTTCCTGCTGACTTTTCTCCTAGAGTATTCTACGTCTGGGAAGAACTCGTCAAATGGATGTACCCGGACGACGACGCACCGAGACAGCCCGATGGTAGAGGGCCGCTGCCGCAGTTCCTCCCGTACGATGAGGCCGACCGACTGCGGTTTGAGGACAATCTGCCTATCCAAGTTTTCTCCTGCTGGAACGGAGCTACGGTGATCGATGCCGCAGCCTTCCTTCCGCCACACAACCTCCGGTTCCGCGTCGCGCAGCACGACCTAGACGAGGACGGTCAGCCGAAGGAGGTCACGGAGATGCACAGTGAATGTTTCTTGTCGAGCGTAGATCTCTGGAAGATGGGCAAAGGCAAGATCCTATTGGCACCACGCGCAAGGTATGGTCTATTCATGCAACGGAAGAATGTTGGTCTCTGACGTCGATGTAGCGTGGCATATAATGGTGGGAACTACGAGACACACCGGAAAGACCAGATGCGGCCTTCTTCATCAAGCATAGAGAGCGAGTTGATAGGTTGGCTCCTCAAGCCCCCAGCAAAGGTGGCTTTCCAAGACTTCGCCGCATGGAACGAACCAGAGGTACGTCGCTGGGCTTTGCGTGCCAGTACTCTTACTCATGACCTCACAGCGGTGGGCTCCTTGGGACGAGCAATAATAACTCGACGCGACGACCCATCACGACGACGATGTACATATGTGGACTATCTATACCAATGGGCTTGAGAGGGATACCCCATGGCACCGGCGCTCAGCCCAGGGAGCGCGCGGCTTTCAATCTTGGTTGGTTTACTTGCTTTGCTTAATATGTTGTATTACACTCCTACTCTACTTTTTCTTGTGGATATATGCTCTGATAACCGATACTACCTCCGTCCGTTGCAGGTGTCTTGGACTGACGAGGCCGAGGCCTGCGGTCTTTGAGGGCTCGCAGCGCACCCTTGTTTTAGACTCGCAGTACTCAGGCTGAGACATACGCAGCTCCAAGTATAAGTCCCGTACATTTTGAAGTCATATTTGGCTAGGCGAACATGAACAGCAACACCCCTTGGAGCCTCAACCTCGCGCGTTTACAGACCGTTGAGCGGTCTTTTTCGGTCCCAAAGCCTCCCGCGCTCCGGGACGTCAAGAAGCGTATCGGTTGTGCGTTCTCGCGTACATGGCATCGATATACATGCTCACTCCTCTTTAGACGAAGCGCGGGTCGCTCTCGGTCAAATCATCCTCGCGCTTGCGCCTGCCAAACGCGTCCCTCAACCTGTCGTCACCATCACACCACCCACCCCAATCGCACTCGAGGCCTGTGATACCATACCTGAGCTCTATGACGCGCCGGAAGTCGTACCTCTCCCAGCCCGTGGTGGTTTCTTCATCGGCCAGCCTCCCACCGTGGCCTCAGCCCTGCCTCCTACCCTTCGCGGTCGCTCGAGGCGACGCGGCTCATGGAGGTCCGGCCTTCGGGCTCGTTTGGGCTCACGCGATGACCTTTGCAATGACTACGAAGATCTCATGCTGGAGCGATCGCCGTCGAGGGATGATATAAAGGCTATCAGGGAGCTCTCGCAAGACGGACGTTGGTGACTGGATCACTCTGCGCGGGCGGACTGTACTGTGCTTTGCTTCATCATTCCCCGACGACGTCTGGACGTCGTCGCTATCGGAACGTTGGGAACTGCATCTGCGGGCAGATGGGAATGTATACAAAGCTATCTGTCGTCAATGTACATGTTGTGAGATGGGCCATATGGATACAGTGTGGGAATGATGTGGAACGAGCGTGCAATGAGAAGGTGTCCATGAAGGTAGTCTGTGTAAGTAAGCTACGAGTCGTCGAGAGCCAGCTCTCTTACCGTAATGTATCACGATTCTACTTCATCTTCTTGAACAAGTCCCGAGCACTGGGCATACGCACGAGGCGTCGGCCTTCGGTCGATGGCGACGGCTCCCGAGGCATAGGTGGCATTGGCGGCAACGATGGCTCTTCGCTGCCGTGGCGCGTCTTGTTCCCTCCCGCCTTGTGAGGTGGTGGATGGTATGGCGGAGGCTCGGATATACTGCGCGACGTCTTGCTCCTGAACAACGCCTTGAACCCTCCACCTTTCTCTTTCTCCTTCTCCTTGAGCAGAGCGGCTTGTTGTGCAGCGGCAAGGTCCCGTACAGCGTTTGAAGAGCTCCACTTGTACGCAGGCATCTGCGGTGCGCCAAGGGAAGGGTCCGGGTCGGGCGTATGCGCGCGCAGGGAGACCTTGGAGCTCTTTGAGCGCAACTGCAGCAGAGATTTGCCGCGAGCGCGACGTTGCTCGAGCGGATGCACCGCGGGCTCTGGCACGGGGTATGCGGGGTGCGCTTTGACAGGAGACGCGCTGTACGCACGATGAACTGCTGGTGGGGAGACGATTGAGCGACCTGGTCCTGGTGCGCTAGACGCGCGAGCTGTTGCTGCCTCGTCCAAAGCAGCGAAGAAGGCCGCGCTACGTGGACTAGCGTGCGAGAGCGTCTTGGCGCGCTGACGTGCAGTAAGCATAGGTCGTCCAGGCGAGTGGAAGCCTTCAGCCGGTTCGGCGATGGGCGATGTTGAGCTGCCTGTGAGAAACTCGGGCGCCATGTCCGGAAGGTAGATGCAGTGCATTGATGGATCCGTCGGGAGTGCCGCCTGAGCAATAGGCGGTAGGGGACTCGCCTTGACCTCTCCGTGCACCTCCTTCAAGGGTTTTGGAGTCTCCACCAGGCCCGGAGGAAGTCTAGGGGTCTTTGCCTGTGTGTCGGACGAACTGGCACGAACGACAGAACCAAGCCTATCTTGCGCAACCCCATCAACTGGGCATGGGCTCTCGTCCAGCGGAACGAGCATCCTGTCCTTCCCCTTCGTATTGCCGATACTGGTGGAGGTCACGGCCTCGCCCCGTTCATCCTTGCTCATGGTCTGCGGCTCCTCCGCGAAAGAGCCGTCGAGTATACCGGACAGCGGGCTGGCAGGAGGAGGTAGAGAAAGCAAGTTCATGAGGGACGAGAGCTCCGCGGAAGGTGCATATGTATCCTCTGGTAAGGACAGCGGCGGCAGAGAGAACGCACTTTCAGCAGGCGAAGAGTCCCAAGTAGGGAAGGACTGGGGCTGCACTGGTACTGGCGTATCCTCGGTAGCTGATGGAGAACTGACGGCTTGTTGAGAGGATGTCGGTTCCATAACCGGGAATGCCGCCGTCGAAACGCCCAAGGATTGAGCAGACTGCGTAACGACAATGCGAGGCAAGACGGCGGTCAACTCGCGCGCCAAGCTCTCCAGCTCCTCCAGCATGCGCAGCATGTCCTCTGGCAATCCATCTGCGGGCACACTCAGACTCCATCGCCTGCCCTCGTCGTCTTCCACTTCTTGTATGACCATATCGCCGTCTTCGGTCTGTGTGCGCATCAGGCTGAAGCGACTGCCCGAAGTGGATGTACTGCTATAGCCAGCAGAAGACGCGGAGGAAGAAGATGTCGACGACGTTGTGGCCGAAGGGAGCGGAGCGATACTAGCACGGTTCATGAGTGAACGTGCAATCTCGGAGGTGCGAGGTCGAGGCCGTGCGGCGGGTTCTGTATTGGCGCGTACTGGCATCGTCGGACGATCCGCCTGAGGCGCAGTAGCAGAACGAGGAGCTGCTGGCGCCTTCATACGTTGATCGAAGTGAAAGGGGTCTTCTTCGTCACTTTCTGCCCCTTCTTCAGGCCCACCTGAAAGCGCCAGGCCGATGCGTAGGTGCGCGGACCCGGTTGAGCTGTCCGTGTGGATGCTGCCGGCCGAGTTAGACGATACGGCGAGGGTTGATGTGGTTGATGGCGCTATCGTAGCCGGAACTGGAGGCACAGGTACCGCGTCGGGTCTTGAGATGGGATACGCGGGTAATGTGCGATGGCGTTCACTTCGTGTAGATTTCGCAGGTGCTGTAGTTTGGACTGGCGAGGCGAATGGTATAGATTGTATAGACTGAGTAGGCGGAAAGTTAGAATGGTCGACCGAGAAATGGCGCCGTACTCCAGGCATTAGAGCCTTTGGTATGTCCGTTCTTGTGCTCTACGCAAATGATAAGTCGTGCAGTCAGGCTTCAAATAGTAGACACGAACCGTGGAGGTGTTGATGGAGCGACTGGAAGGCTGAAGCGGTAATCTAGCATGTCCCCCATCGACAGAGTAGATCGAGTTGGCCATGATAGGCGACTGGTAGAGTGCAGAGCAAGCGGCCTGGCTCAATTGCGTCTTCAACTTGGTGCGCAAAAAGTAGGCAGCTCGCCGGAGTACCGCACGATGGGGAGAGGATGGTTCGCGTCAAGAAGCGGTCAGTCAGCCGCCGAGCGACGACTGCTTGCTCGCCAGAGTTTGAGCGACGTCAAGTATCATGTTGAACGGTTGTATTTTACACTTGACACAGGAACACGAGGACCGATGGCCTTCCCCACGGAAGACTCGGTGTCAAGACATCTGTTGCGTGGGTTCTGACGACGTAGGCTCCTGGTAATGCAGGGATCCGGGACGTGGTTGTTTGCGATAGGTGAAGATGGCTGCTCGTCGCAAAGCAGACACGACTCGTCGCGGTGGAACCGTTCGGAAATCTTGAGCCAAACTTTGGCGCGATCCACGTGCTCACGGCAAGCGCCGGATAGGTGATGCCAACAGCTTTCGGCGTATGCTGCCCTTGCCTCCGTGCTCCCACAGCCGGTCTCAACGCGGCTGCATTCACTTTCCTCCACGTGTACCCTTCTAGTCTGTCGCCTTATCATATACAAGGGAGTGCACTGCCTCAGACACATATACATCCCAGGCAATGCCTCAGGGAAAGCGGCGGATGTGGCCTGTGGCCCAGTTATTGCTTTTGGGCATAATCTTCCACCTGGTCTTCATTGGAACGGTATTCGACTGTTACTTTACCTCCCCCGTTGTACACGGAATGAAGGCATATGGTCAACTGGACGACTTGTCTAAGGCGCCTGCAAAACGCCTCGTTCTCATCGTAGGTACCTTGCGTCCTTGCATCGCTCGTTTGAGTGGAACTTAGTTGGTCTCCGTAGGCGATGGACTCCGTGCGGATTTCGTGTTCTCTGCCAATGCAAGTGTTATTGTACCTGGAGCGCCAGAATCTGTGGCGCCGTACCTGCGCGACGTGATCGAACATAGAGGCGCCTGGGGCGTGTCGCACACACGTGTACCGACTGAAAGCCGCCCGGGACACGTCGCGTTGATTGGTATGTGCTGTAATCGAAATCTGGATGCCACTTTGTATGCTGACCTTGAACCATAGCGGGAATGTATGAGGATGTGTCGGCTGTAACAAAGGTCCGATGACGTCCGTTATGCTGTCCGCATGCCGTTGACGTCTTATCACAGGGATGGAAAACCAACCCAGTGCGCGCCTTGGGTGATGCGTTGACTCCGTGCTACGCTGACATGATATAGGTTGATTTTGACTCCGTGTTCAATCGCTCCAGTCATACATTCTCGTTCGGTTCGCCGGACATCCTACCCATGTTCGAACACGGAGCGACCCCAGGGAGAGTCAAGACATGGATGTACGACGAAGAGGACGAAGACTTCACGAAAGGTTAGTTACTTCGTCCTGATTCGCGGCTATTTCTGATATGGTCTTAGACGCCACGGGACTTGATATCTGGGTGTATGCCAAACTCGTAGAGCTCCTTAACAACGCCACGAGAGATGCAACACTAGACGCGCAGCTTCGAGACAATCAAGTTGTGTTCTTTCTGCACCTACTAGGACTGGATACCACCGGGCATTCTTACCGTCCTCACTCAAAGGTAAGTCGTACATCCAACTAATCGACAGATTCTGACGGCTTCTTAGGAATATATGCGCAATATCGCTGTAGTCGATGATATCGTCAAGAAGACGGAGAAGCTATTCCAGGATTTCTACGCCGATGATCGCACAAGCTTCATCTTCACGGCCGATCATGGCATGTCTGTGATAGGTAATCACGGCGACGGTGGTGCGTTCTGCTCTGCTATGACCGTCAAGTGCTTCATTTGACGCAATTGCTCCCAGATCCGGACAACACTCGCACACCCCTCATTACATGGGGCGCCGGGATCCGGAAGCCCATAGAATTGGATTCTCCAGACGTTCCTGACGAATACAGCGCACCATTCGAGTTGGAACATCTAGCTCGACGCGACGTGGAGCAAGCAGATGTTGCGGCTATGATGTCTGCTCTAATCGGGTCCGACTGGCCGGTAAACTCCGTCGGTCGTCTACCGGATGTCGATCCCTCGCAACCTGGATTCTTCGATATGAGCGAGGAAAACCTGGCTCTCGCAGGCCTGACGAATGTGCAGGTAAGCCTGCCATCCATGTTCTCGTAAGAGAGTGGCCCTAACACTAGTGCAGGTCCTTCTTGTCCATTACATCACCAAACATAGTGCGTCGTGTCCTTGGCGGCGATTATGTGTATAGTCGCTGACAACGATGTCCAGACGTGAAAGCACAGCACGCCTATCGCTACAAGCCGTTTCCCAAACTCGATCACTCGCGTGTACCCGGCCAGTATCCAGGTCGTGCTCGCGTCGCTGAACTTGGACAGCTAGCGTATTCTCGAGACTTCATCACGTTACGGGAGAAAGCTGTGCTTCTCATTGATGACCTCTTGCTTGGACTGAGATATCTTGAAACGTACGTCGATCTGTACCATAGAAGGCATCGATATCGACTAACAATCACTGTAGATATGACAGGACGCTCATACAATTACTCGTTGCACTCTCATATACCGGGTGGATGGCCTTCTGCTGGGCCGTTTTGCTCTATTCGCCTCAAGGTCCGGCGGCAGTTGCCTTGAATCCCGTGCGAGAAGGAGCAGTGTTTCCGTACTTGATCGGGGCAGCTTGGACGATGTTCTGGAGCATGCATGCCAAATGGACCCTCTACGTCTACGTTATCTTCCCTGCGATGTTCTGGCAGATCGCATTGTCTATACTCTGGCCCCATCTTCGTCCGAGTCTGGTTCGTCTGATAGGAAGCACGGGCACCGTTGTCCTGCTCTGCATCGGCACGCTACAGGGCATGGTGGTAAGTTCTATCACTGGCATGTGAGAGAAAGGTGTCCGCTAATGTAAGCGGATAGGCTGCGTATACTACGCGGACACTCTGGAGCGTAGGTTTCCTCCTTATCGGCTTGGTATGGCCACGCACGTGGCCAAATGGTGTCAAGTCCGATCTTGTCAACATTCACTTGCACTGGCCCTTGGCGTGTCTAGTGACGGCCGTCTTCCCTTTGCTAAACGTTTCTCCGTCCGAGAGCATAGCAGCTATGTAGGACATCAGCCCTCTCGTCTTTTCAGGACTGGGCTGATATCTGTGCGACAGCATGTTCGGTGGTATCGTCATGGTTGGCCTCGGCTTACATGCCACTCTCCGCGTGGCAGATGCACCTGCCCGCGGAATAGCGTTCTCACAGGTGATCGAAGCACTTACACGTTTGCAAAACGCGATCTGACGAGATCTAGGTCTTCTTAATCGCCCTCGCCATGACCTCCACTTTCGTCTCTGCGTCGAGTCTGCAAGCTAAGAACGGGCTACCGTTCGTGTCCCAGGTATCCGGATGGACCATATTCTGTACGTGTCGTTTGCAACCTCGTGTATCATGTGCTCATGGTCGTGCAGTCGCCGCCATCGTTCCGCCGTTTCTGCTTCCGCGAACGGTCTCCGCAAACGCCAAGATACTCGTATACTTCCTGGCATTCTGTCCATGCTTTGTGATACTGTCCATCCGAACTGAGGGGCTGTTCTATGTCTCGTATTGCGGGACGTTGTGGCTGTGGATACAGACCGAGGCTGCTGTGCGCAGTGCTTCGCCGCAACAAGAGAAGAGTAGCCCACGTACACCGCAAGAAGAGGACGTCCTCAACTGGAATCCTGGTCAGCTCATGCTCGATGATGTGCGCATCGCCCTGTTCTTCCTTTTCTTCGTACAAGTTGGCTTCTTCGGGACCGGCAAGTAAGTGATCCAGCAACGATATCACTTCAGCTTCACTCAATGCCGTACAGCGTTGCTTCCATATCGTCTTTCTATCTTGAGCCCGTGTACCGTTTGGTACCTGTCTTCAATCCTTTCCTGATGGCCTCACTCCTTGTGAGTGCTATGTCCACGAAAGCGACCTGCATTAGCTGATTCCTTCATCCAGCTCTTCAAGATCCTGTCACCATATGTTCTCTTATCGGCTTGTTTCGCAGCTCTCAATACCCGTCTGCATATGCCAGACTTTGCTCTATTCCTGATTGCGCTTGCTCTGACAGACGGTACGCCTTGATGGCACCACAGTTTACCCGAGACTTGGCTGATACGATGTGGCATAGGCATGACCTTGACATTCTTCTTCAAAGTCACAGACACAGGTAAAGCCGTTGCATGTACTTCCTGTGCGAAGGCTAATGTCACCGGGGATAGGATCATGGCTGGAGATTGGTCAGACCATCAGCCATTTCTGCATCACATCTCTACTACTCGTTTTCTCTGCGGGCATTGTCTCCCTTGGGGGTATCCTGATGGGTGAAAGACAATCGATGGTTCATGTAGCTGATAAGAAAGTAGACTAGTTTTGGCGCAGGCTACACCCACGGTTTAAGCTTCGATCCACTCGTGAGCTGAACACGAGAATCTGTAGAGATAGTGCCAACTGCGAGAGTCAAATCGAATGCGAGATATAAAACATTCCACATACCGCTCTTGCTAGAGGTTAGCGAGTGTCCGTAAAACAATACTGCTACCCGAATTAGTGCATCAAGTCGCGTCCCGTCACGCGTCCGTCACGATCATTGCCGCCGCTCCAAATACCTCGCTTGTGCAGCGCAACAGCGCTTCTCCCAAACCACCATCACGCACTCTACAGCGCATCGCGCTCCCCGACTACTACTCGCTTTTCTGACAGGGCCCTTCGATCATGGTTCGCACGTATGCAGAAGATCGGCTGGTGTTCAAAGCCCACGTGGGGGAGCGCAAGCTGAACGTGTCGCGTAACACCGCCAAGACTTGCGGGCTGCGCCATTGCCGAACGTGGACGCCTGAATCTCTCAAAGTATGCGCCAAGTGCCGGAACATCTTCTACTGTGTAAGATGAGCTCTTACGGCTCCAGGAGTCAACAGGCTCACACAACCCACAGTGCCCGGAACATCAGCGTGAAGACTGGAAGCGACACAAACCGATGTGTATAGCTCATCGAAGCACAGAAGCGCGAGCTATGGCAGCTACACCAAATAATCTCCCACCGGGAGTCACGTCTCTCATGCAACTGAAGGACATCTTGGAAGACTTCGCCAAACTACACGAGCGTGCTTTGGCTAGTATAATCGGCCGAGCGCTGGCTTTCCGTCGTGGCAAGAAGCGTCTCCCACTCGACTTCAGAACTGAATATATAGGCTTCTGGGTACGCTGGCGCGGCGAAGATCTTAGTCCTGCGAATACCTTTGAAGTCTACGAGGGCGATTTAATGGACGCTGATACGCTGCCCGACGTCCTGAAGGAGAGATTTACGGATTTCACAGAACGTGTTGTTCAGCCGAATATCAACTCTGCCAACGAGAAGTTTGACGACTTGCTGACGCTCGTCCCTGTTCTTTGTGAGTGATGATCATTATTTCTCCCTGCGCTGCTGTGACTCATGATGTCTCAACAGTTACTATCAACACTCTGACCTATATGACCTCGGTCGCTTTGCACAAGCCGCATTGGCAACAGGAGCCGAGTTCTCTTCCAATCTGGGCCGAGTTGGAGAAGTACGCGTCGATCGGTGTCGTCGCTAGGAGATTCGTTACTACAGATGCGGAGACATTCCATGATCAGTGGGGAACAATGGTTCGCCGAGGAGATGAGTGGCATTGGCAGAAGAGCGAGGGATCTGTGGTAAGAATCCCGATACATATCCTAAACTTCATATTTGACTAACAATCTGCTAGGATAACTTACGGAATAAGCAGCTGGTGCGCGAGCGTGCAAAGGCAATGAAGCGTGCAGCTGCAGCAGGTATCACTCGCACGTCTGACTGGGAGTCGCCGGCTGCATCTGCCTTCGCCGGAAGAGCAGAATCGTCGGACGCAGGGGAAGTAAGTGAAGTTACAGAGGACGATGATACAAGTCTGGCGTCAGCGATGCAGAATCAGTCTATCTGAGCGAATGACGATGGTCTCGCGCCGAGCGAGGAGTTGCATACGATATCATCTTGAATACACGATACCTCTTGAGCCTGGATCCGTCTATTAAAAGATGGCTGTCTCTGTCGATACCAAGCATGTACGATCATTGTTACATAGGATACCTATTCTAGTCAAGAGACAAATGTGTCTCATCTACGCATCACGCATCCGCGTCCCCCTTCTTCGCAGCCTCTACTGCGCGCTTCAAGTTGCGCTTGCAACTGATGTTGTCCTGTCCGCATGTCAGTTTCTGAACAACGATTTCCACCGTGTAATGTGAAGCGCACTTCGTTTTCCTCATCCATCGCCCATTTCCACTCGTCCTCCCCTTGTTGTGTCAACAATCCTACATACTCGCAGTAGTAGTCCTTGATCTCTTTGCTGTAGATCCTTCGTATGACGACTCCGTCGCGTGCGTTCCTCGCGAAGGATGACCACCAGTGTTGGTCACCGGGATCTGTCACTGAGGTGAAGTGCCCGCGATGCAGCTCGATTGCTGTTTGGTACATGAAACCCACATCACGGATGTAGACTGGACACTTCAGTTAGCTCACGACGCAACACGGGCGTTTGAGATGGACTAAACGTACAGAGCGCGCAGCAAAGTGTGACAAGGTCGGGGAACGTTTTCATACTCGATTTGAGGTTGTCTTTCAGGACGTTGTCTCTACTCAATGTCAATACACCGTTAGAGTATATACTGAGACACAACCCACATGTACTTGTCGAAGTTCTTGCGCTGATCCGGAGGCATGTCAGTCGCAGATTGCGCGTATCCATCCATGACTTCGAATGTCGATGCCGGGTTTACGTCGTTACCTCCGCGGTACTCAACCTCGAACATGATGTACTCCGTGCGATGATCGATGGCTTGATCAAGAGGCCTCTCGCTTTCAAGACAGCGGATGGCTAGATACCGCGCGACAACATGCGATAGGATACGCTGATGCAGCGCCACAAAGTCCTGCAGCATCGAGAGAAGCACACGGGATTCTGGATAGCCTCTCTGGACGAGAGAAGCTGAAACGGATGCTCCTGTTTGCTGGGCTGCCTGATGGCTCGCGCACATGGCTTTGTGTCTGACGCAGACCGCGTCAGGATACGTCAGCAGGTAGTATAGCCATATATGTATACCTCTTCCAGTCCTGGCGCTGATGCTCAGCAGACTACATCATACAAGCATAGGTTAGCAGAGTGGCACCAGAACGACGCAGAGCCTAGCGTACACAGTACCTGTGCAAACGAAGATCAGCGCTTGCAAATGCAAGAAAGAACCTCTCAGTACCATACATTGCGACACTTCGCACAAACTCGTAGATCGTTAGCCGTCGCGCCGGACGCGCAAGTGTGTAGTGCGCAGTGGCGACTGATGTTCCGCGAGTTCAGACTTTTGCGGTAGCCGTCATGAGCTTTGAACACCAGTCTATCCCGGTCTTGGATAGGTAAGGACATGCCGGTAGTATTACCAGACGTCTACTCAGTGAGTGCGGGAGGCAAGGTTTGTCGGCGCTCGATGCAGCTCGATGCCCCGCCATGAATCATATAAAGACGCGATCACGTGTGTTTAGATTATGTCCGCCGAAGCGAGTACACCGCGGTTGTGGTGGCCGCAGCCTGCATATGATTCCGCAGAGATATAGGTACATGTAGCGTAGTGATGTAGTGAGACAAGTGAACGGGTCATGGTGACAGATCGATCGTCGGCACTTGTAGCCTTGCCTGCGCCGACAAGACTTCTTGTACGCGAGCATGCGCGTCACGCAGACCACCATCATCTTTCAGCATTCGGCCTGAAATCACGCCATGAGCAAAATAAAACGAGATATATTGGATACAAGTCTCACATATTTTCCTGACCGTGTCGTCCGATGCACCAATGAAGGCAGTGCTAAAGCTCTGCTCCCATCCGTCGACGGGTTGGCTGCCGAATAGGGTGACTACTGAGCGGCAGAATGTCAGCATGACGAGGCCATGTACAAGGTCGAAGCTCCTTACATGCTCTTGCTTTGACAGAGTCATCTCCTCGCCTCTCTAACAAGGCTTTGAAAAGCCGAGTGAGGTCTTCAATTTCTAAACGACCGTAGTGCTGAAAGCCTTGGCTCTGCGCGCGAATGGCAAAAGCCGCATCGATGTTTGCGTCGGGTGGAGAGATAGAGACGTCTGGTGCCGAGTACCTTGGTAGATGAAAGGCGGATGGGTGTGTCTGGAAAGCGGACATCGTGTTGATAAGTGCGCAAGGGGGACGATGAGTTAGCGAGTGGTTGGGCGTGTAGGTGTGGTATGTCGTGAACCGCGGTAAGTTCGCCTTTATAAAGTGTATCGATCGAACAAAGCGGTGGTATCTGACTGAGCGCGGTGGCCGCGCACATGCTCGGACCATGATTGTGTTATGATGATAGCGAACAACGCCTCACAGGGCGAACACGCCCCGCGAACCCAGCCTTTTGTCCCCAGTAAGGATATCATTTTGTTCTAGTATCACGGCCACAGCACGGTTGCTGTGATCAACGTGCCATACCAACCGTTTGCCGCCTCGGAAAGCCGCAGTGTCAGGGTAGCTGACAAGAGAGTGGCACAGCAATCGGCCTGTGCATCGTGTTCTGCCCTTCCGGCATCGCAGTCAGCCTATTACCTTCCTAGGTACGAAAAGGACATGGGCTCCTGTAGCTTATGTCTGAGGCATATAATCCAGCGAAAGAAGTTTGACTCAGCTGTGAGATACACGAAGTTGGTGCATGCGCAACTCGATCGACTAAAGCCCAGCCTCAGGTTATTCCGCCGCTTCCTCGAGCTCAGGTGATGGGACAGCGCGCGCTCAACATTTGATGGACGAATAATTCATGCTGATGACGCCCAGAAGGAGGTGTGACTTCTGAGCGAGGGCAGCGATCCGCTGGTACCCACACGTTGGTGGCCTTACAGTGGCCTTACGCACATGTGTGGATGTTGACAAGGGTTATGCGTCAGATGAGAATCACATAGATATATTTGTAGTCTTTGGGAAGAGACAAGATAGGGGATGATGGATATTCGCAATCTCTGTCCGGTTGGAAACATGGTGGTTGAGAACAGGCTGCGCAGATCGCGTATGGGCACGGAGGGGCACGGCCTTGCGCGGCGACGGGCGTCGCGTCGATCTGATCGAGAGCGCTCCGAGCCGCTACATCCCTCGGCTCCTGATAGTATCTTAGTCCGGCGACTCCGTAGGGGTACTCAGCCTCTATCATACCGGATGGCCACTCGTCGAATACTTTGGGCGCGTCTCTCGAGGGCACCAAGCGAGCGGTGATGCGGCCCGGCGAGCGCCGCGGCGCGACCAGGTGTGGCGGCGGTATTTCCGACGTTGTCCTTGGTCCCGGCCATCCACCTGGATGCCTGGTGCCACGGCGGACGAGAGATCCGAGGTTCTCGTTCCGGAGCCGACTCTATCAGACAATAGGTACGCCCCTGCTCTCTATCCATTTTTGAGGGTAGTCGCCGACTCGTCATCACAGCAAGTAAAGCGGCCAGAGGCGGAGACTCGAAGGGCGGTTCTGCATGGCGGCCGGGGGAACTTTCCGAGGCCTGGTTCTATGTACGCGTTCGCGCCGTAGCTAACCTTCCCTTCTTGCAATAGCACATTATATTTCTTGGACAACGTTCTGTCGAGACGATCCGCTCCATTCGAAGAGAGTTGGTGAGAAGGAAAGCGCGGGGACCGCACCAGCTGACCCGAAGTTCATCGCGCCTTCGCGCTCAATTCACACTCGTGCGGCCGGCGGTCGAGCTCTCGATTGATACGTCATGAACGTTGGCATATCCTTAAAGCCCAGTCTCAGATCCATCCTCGGACCCGGTATCGCTCCCTCCCAGCGACCACCACCAGAAGGTATGTCGCCGTCAACGTTCTCGACACCACGATCGCTACTGACGACGAGCTCGGTTAGAATGGCAGCGACGATCGATACCAGCACTATCGGCCGTCCCCCGTCGCGGCAGCAGCGCCGCCGTCACGTCCGTACCCTCACGGGCTATGCCCCCGAGGTCGACGAGCGTGGCCAGGAGAAGTGGCCCCGCGGCGATGAAAAGGCCTGGAAGGACGCCTTCCGCGGCGTTACGACCGATGTACCCGGCATCACCAAGAACATCGTCGGCCATGTCCAGGCCACGCTCGCTCGTCAGCCCTACAACCTCGACGACTTTGGCGCGTACCAGGCGGCGGCATTGGCCACCCGTGACAACCTTATCCTAAACTGGAATGACACTCAACTTCACTGGACGCGCAAGCAGCCTAAGCGCGCCTACTATCTATCCTTGGAGGTACGCGATGATCTCCGATGTCACACCGCAATACAAACCTAATACCGCCCAGTTCCTCATGGGCCGTACTCTCTCCAACGCCCTTCTCAACCTTGGTATCCAGGACAAGACCGGCGAGGCTCTCCAGTCACTTGGCTTCGGTCTCGAGGACGTGCTTGTCCAGGAGCGCGATGCTGGACTTGGTAACGGTGGTCTTGGTCGCCTTGCTGCCTGCTACCTTGATTCGTCCTCGACGCAAGAACTTCCCGTTTGGGGTTACGGCCTGCGCTACAAGTGCGTCAAACAAAGTCCCCAAATCCGATGTAGCTTCTGACTTGCCATAGGTACGGTATCTTCATGCAGCTCATCAAGGCCGAAGATGGTACCCAGCTTGAGGCTCCGGACCCCTGGCTCGAGCGTAAGCGCGTGTGTTCTTGTTCTCCCCTTCCATTTCGTGACCCATTTGCGCAGACCAGAACCCGTGGGAACTGCCGCGCCTGGACGTGCAGTACGAGGTTCGTTTCTACGGCTCCAGTGAGCGCGCAAACGACGGTTCGGGACGTGCCGTCTGGTCCGGTGGCCAAGAGGTTCTTGCTGTGGCGTACGATGTCATGATTCCCGGATATGGCACCCGCAACACGAACAACCTTCGCTTGTGGGAGTCCAAGCCCAAGCGCGGCTTCGACCTCCAGAGTTTCAACGCTGGTGATTACGAGCGCGCCATTGAGGCTTCCAACAGCGCTGCCGCGATCACGTCCGTTCTCTACCCGAACGACCACACCACGTGTAAGTTGTGATCCAACTGTCCCCTATGTCCGGCGTTGACTATTTCACAGTCGGTAAGGAGCTCCGCCTCAAACAGCAGTACTTCTGGACTGCCGCGTCGCTGGCCGACATGATGCGTCGCTTCAAGAACATGGGCAAGCCCATCTCTGAGTTCGCCGAGTGTATGTCGCGGCGCTGTTGTTGCTGGCTACTCACAACCGTCTGACGCTGGCCCACAGACAACGCGATCCAGCTCAATGACACCCACCCGACGCTGGCCATCGTTGAACTCATGCGCATTCTCGTCGACGAGGAAGAGGTTGGCTGGGACGATGCCTGGACGATCGTTACACAGACGTTCTTCTACACCAACCATACCGTGCTTCCCGAGGCGCTCGAGAAGTGGCCTGTGCCGCTCCTCCAACACCTCCTGCCGCGCCACCTCCAGATCATCTTCGATATCAACCTGCTCTTCATGCAGTGTGCGTCCCAGTCCCCTTCCCATTGCAGTGACTCGCGCTAACATCCACGTTCAAAACAGCCGTTGAGAAGAAGTTCCCGGGTGATCTTGGACGCCTCAGCCGTATGTCTCTCGTCGAGGAGGGCTTCCCGCAACAGATCCGTATGGCGAACCTCGCTGTCATCGGTAGCCGCAAGGTCAACGGCGTGGCTGAATTGCACAGCCAGCTGGTTCGCTCGAACCTTTTCCCCGACTTCGTCGAGTTCTATGGGCCAAGCAAGTTCTCCAACGTCACTAACGGCAGTACGTCTCCTATATTCATGCGGGGTATCCGTATACTGACACAAGCACAGTCACGCCCCGCCGCTGGCTCGACCAGTGTAACCCCGGACTCTCGCAGCTCATCACAGAGACACTCAACGTACCGAAGGAGGCTTGGCTCCGCGACCTCAACAAGCTTGACGGTCTGCTTGCTCACGCTGACGACGAAGCGCTCCACGTCAAATGGCAAGCCGCGAAGCGTCAGAACAAGGAGCGCCTTGCGCACTTCGTTGAGAAGTCGTTCGGCGTGAAGGTCGACACAGACGCGATGTTCGACGTGCAGATCAAGCGTCTTCACGAATATAAGCGCCAGACCCTCAATATCCTCGGTGTTATCCACGTATGTGCATGATTAAATTTCCCTGCATTGCGGAGCTGACAGGTTGGCAGCGTTACCTCACGCTCAAGGCCATGTCACCTGAGGAGAGGAAGAAGGTCAACAAGAAGGTCGTCTTCTTCGCTGGCAAGGCCGCGCCGGGCTACTATGTCGCGAAGCTCGTACGTAGCTATCTTACACTCGAACGAACTCTACCGCTCACAAACACCATAGACCATTCGCCTAATCGTGAATGTCGCTAAGCACATCAACGTCGACCCTGACACCAACCAGTACCTATCGCTCTTCTTCCTGCCTGACTACTCGGTCTCGCTTGCCGAAATCCTCATTCCCGCTGCGGATATTTCGCAGCAGATCTCTACCGCTGGCACCGAGGCTAGCGGAACGTCCAACATGAAGTTCTGCTTGAACGGCGGTCTTCTGCTTGGCACTGTCGACGGCGCGAACATTGAGATCGCTGAGCAGGTCGGCGAGGACAACGTCTGTGAGTGTTTCCGGACTTCGCCGCTCGAAGGCACCTTACTGACAATACATCCAGTCTTCTTCGGCCACTTGACGCCCGACGTCGAGAAGCTCCGTTACGAGCACACATACCACCCGGTTCCCATCGAGCAGAAGTGCCCCGCCCTCGCGAATGTCCTCAACGCCGTCTCGGCCAACACCTTCGGTGGCGATGGCGTGTACGAGCCGCTCCTCAACACTGTGCGCCAGGGCGACTACTACATCCTCACCGACGACTTCGACTCGTACATCCGCGCGCTCGAGATGGTCGACGAGGCGTACACTGACACGGTTGAGTGGACGAAGAAGAGCATTCGCACCGTCGGCAAGATGGGCTTCTTCAGCTCGGACCGTGCTATCCAAGACTACGCACAGGAGTACTGGAACATCGAGAGCAGCCGTCTCTCGTAAAGGGTACCGTCATGTGTAAGATTTGCGAAGTGAAAAGAGCGAGCGTACAATGCATGAATGTAGTCCTGGTGTAACATATACAATCGTATCGGAGGCACCGTTGTATCGCGCTGGGAAACGATGATAGTTAGGATACCTTCCTGGGGATCACTTGACAGAAGTCGAGACTGTACGGTCATGCAATACCCAGACGAACGCGCGAATATGAGTATTATAAGCCACCAATTTTACGCCACGCGTGGCTGCCATGTGGCCGCTCGCTGGGCGTGGCATTGGCGTGAACGGCACGCTGCACCTTCGACCTGACCGCCATCTGCGATCTTTGAGTTATACAATACTCTCGTCTCCTTGATTTGCATCGATATGACTGTACCCTCTTCGGACGATATGGAAACCGTGAAGCACCTTTTGAACAGTGATCCGATATTCAAGGAGAAAATGGATGTACGTACTCACTCGATCACTTGATGGCGATATTTGATTAACTGAGAGGATTACATAGACTGCTACTTCTATAGCCGACAAAATAGGACGGGAAGCTTTGGCTGAGATATACGCCGCGCAGTCATCAGTGAAGCAGCTGAATGAAGGCGGCTATCCTTCGGAGATGGAAGAGATCATCAGGAAGAAGGCGGAGGGCACCTTTCGTCGATACGCAAAGTTTATGGGCGCCATGGTCCGCCTCGTAGAACCACGTCTCAGTGGCGAATACGGCCCCGTGGAATCACCCGTACATTCGTTGCCTCCGGAGATGCTCTCCGCCATATTCACCCTGACGGCTGATATTCCCTTCGTGGTTGATGGGCAGTGGTGGACGCCTCGAGTCTTGCGCCTCGTATGTCGTCATTGGAAGAAACTCGCGGAAGAAACACCTACTTTATGGCGGAAAGTTGACCTTACTGGCGGTCTTCAGTGGACAGAACATGCGCTGCGATGGTCGAAGTCCGTTACATTGGACGTTCGTATGGGTGGCAGGGTGTACTATCCTACAACCTTCATGAAATGTGCGGAAGCCGCTCTGGAGGAGCTTCCACGTATCCACTCGCTACAGCTATCTGCTTATGGAAATCTAGAGCTCCAAGCTTTTGCAGATCTGTTTGCTTCACAATCTGCACCTTTCTTAGCAGAACTCCACTTCCTGGGGGAGTCCTCAACTCTTGTGGACGTCTTCCACGACAATACCTTCGCGGGCGAGGTCCCAACGCGCTTACGGGTGTTGAGCGTTGCGTCTGCCGGAATCGTTACATCGTCACCGCTCTTTCGCGCTCCGCTCACCACTCTCGACCTTCAATCCTGCGAAGTCTGGGAGAACGCCGACGAACTCCTTCATACACTATCCATTCTTCCTATGCTTAAGCATCTTAAGTTATGGACGGATGACGACGACCTACGAATCGACGTATCGAAAGTCCATGACTTCAGACCCAAGGCGGTCAAACTCTTGAACCTCAAAAGCCTCTCGCTCCGCGACGATATCAAAGTCATCCTTGTTATATTCAAGTACCTCGACATCCCGCACGTCACTACGGTCTCTATTGGCGCTGATGACGATAACATCGATTCGTTCATGGGGAGCAATGTCCTGTCGGAGATGGACAGTGTCTTTGGTACTTATCTCACTCACCTTTTCGGCAATACTGCCACACCGTCGGACGCCTTCACGTGTTTGACTGTCACATCTTTTCAAGAAGAATATGGCAGCGGGTATGACACCCTATTCACAGGCCCATCCATACACCGGGATGGCCTAACAGAGTTCTCGGTCGGGTTTGACCTAGACCCAGACTTCATGGACGAATCCAGGGCTCTTTTTATGCGCACGCTCTCATGGACGCCCATGAGCTTCTGCATCACGCGTCTCATCGCTACGGAGTGGCTAGAGCTCTTGGATGGCGACGATATATGGATCCAAATTCTTCAATGCCTGCATAACCTGGAAGAGGTGCACATCGGCAAATCCGCGCCATATTTCGTACAGTCGATCTCAGCTCGAGGACCAGAGGAGGCGCGCTCCATACGGAAACTCGTTTTCAAGGGAGTCACTCCTCTGGAAGACGGGTCGATCGATAAAGTAGTGGCTTTGCTCTCTGGGAGGCATGACCTAGGTTATCCGCCCGTAGCATTGTCCTACATCGCTTGTAAGATCCCCGGGCCAGCCGTAGCCAAGCTCCGGGAGACTGCGGGCATCGACCCGGTTTATGTGCATCCTGCACCGCCGATTCTGACTCTCGAAAGCGACAGTGTTGACGAAGATGTATGAAGCGATGAATGACGGGTACTATTTCTCGAGTCTCATGCCTCTGCGTCAATCATCGTGTAGCTTTGCTCAATATGTAAACCCTAACTTCTTGCCCGTAACAATCAGACAACTCCACTTTGTATAGTATTGTCGCCTGGAACCAGAATTAGAGGATTCGCATCCTCGATCTATCGATAAGGAGTAGCGCGTAGCGAATGACAGGAGCCCACCATGTACCTTCTGGTATCGCGCTGCCACTTACTACAACACGTGGGACACATGGGCGTTTGATCCGGGGTGTAACCGAGTGTGGCGCTCAAGGAATAGCCGCCGGCCCGTATTGCGCCTCTGACCGTGACCGCCACTTGCGTCCTATCCAACATCTTGAATCACTCTCGAAGTGGCAATATGACGCTCCCTTCTACCAAGGACAAAGGCGCTCTGATGAAGCTGATGGATAACGACTCTGTTTTCAAGGATAAGATGGATGTGAGCAATCCCCAGTAAACGCTGAGAAGCCTGTAACAACCGTTGATCATGATAGTTCGCAACGGCTTTGGCAGGCAAAATCGGACCAGAAGCGGTCATGGAGATCTATGCGGCGCAGCTGTCACTCCAGCAACTGAGTGATGGTGGCTATCCTTCAGAGATGGAGTCGGTCATCAGAGACAAGGCCAAAGCCACGTTCAGGCGTTACGCAAAGTTCTTAGGCGCGGTTTCCAGTCTCGGCGAACCTCGTTTGAGCCGCTCGTACGGTCCTGGAGAGTCACCAGCTCACACATTACCCTCGGAATCACTATCCCTGATATTCAATTGGGCGGCCGAGACTCAGTCTTCGATTGGCCCAAAGGGATGGACTCCTCGACTTTTGCGCCTTATCTGTCGTCACTGGAAGAAGGTCGCCGAGGAGACGCCTTCCTTGTGGCGGAATATCGACTTCTCTGGGAGCATGGAGTGGACGCATCGTTCGATACAGTGGTCGAAATCTGTTCCCCTGGATGTTAGCTTGGTCGGCTATGGTCTGCCGACTGCGACTTTCGTGGAACGCGCGCAAGTCGCTCTGGTAGAGCTTTCGCGGATACGCACGCTGAGTGTAGCGAACCCGAAAGAAGAGAATATTGCTCTACTGGTGAACCTGTTTGCCTCGCGTCCAGCGCCGTGGTTGATAGAGCTGGGATTTACCGCGGGGAACATGTACACCGCAGGCACAGGCGGCATGGACGTTTTCCACAGCGGGACCTTTGCAGGCGAAGTCCCGACACGTCTGCGCAAGCTAGTCATGAGCTATGCGAAGATCAATCCATCATTTCCCGCATTCAGTGCACCGCTTGTTACGCTCGACCTTCAGTTCTGCAACGTGTGGCAGACCGTCGATCAACTTCTGCACTCCCTCAATAGTCTACCAAATCTTGAGCACCTTATCCTCAGGACGAACAGCGAGGTCCCGCGGATGCACGCGAGCAAAGTCCACGACTTTAAACCCAAGGGCGTCAAGCTTCGTAACCTGAAAACCCTTTGTCTCCGCAATGAACTAGCGGTTATCCTCGCCATATTCCCTCACCTCGATATCCCCAATGCATCCACAGTCTCCATCGCCATCGACTGCGAGGGTGCTACTTCCATCATGCACCCAAATGCTCTCTCCGAGATGAGTACTGTCTTCGGATCCTACCTCAATAACGTCTTCGGCGATAACACTGTGCTGCCTGGCGGGTTCACAACTTTGGCCATCACTCCTCTCTTAGGCTGGGACGGCGGTTATGACGCAGTGTTTACAGAGCCTGCCGAATGTCGGGACGGATTAACGGAGTTCTCGCTCGGGTTTACTCACGCAGAGTTCGTCGAGATCAGTCACGAGGCGTTATTCATGCGCACTCTCGCGTGGGCGCCCCTGAACAATCGTATCACTCGACTTGTAGCCACGGAAGACGTCTACTTCCTAAACAACGACGCGATATGGGCGCAGATTATTGGCTGCTTGCCCAGCCTGGCGGAAGTGCATGTTCGAGAATCTGCACCGGAACTCATACGGTCGCTCTCGACGTGTGATCCGGAAGAGGCGCGCTCGCTACGCAAGCTTGTCTTCGAGACAACCGCTTTTGCCGACCCGTTGATCGACGCGCTTGGGGCTTTCATCCTTTGTAGACGCGAGAAGGGGCATCCTTCGATGAACCTATCTTTCATCACTTGCAAAATCTCCGACGCCGCCCTGGACAAACTCAAGGAGACAATGGGCGTTGGGGAAGTCTACGTATTTACCGGGGATATGTCTGCGCTCGTTGACGACAGCGATAACTCGGATGACGAGTAGTAGCTATTTCCTGCTTCTATTAAGTACGCAGACTGCAGTGACAAATCTATTGAATGAAAAGCCTGTTTTGTCCAGCGCGAATGACATAATGTATGAGGAAACGGAACTCAGGTGATCGCGTTCGGCTCCTGTGCCTATTTTGGGCAGGACAAAGGCGCAGCCACGCTTGGTCGTCGCGCCGATGCGTCGACCTGGCGTCTTGCTTGCTCCCACCATGACAATTTCACAAACGTCCGCCAATCGATTATATGTGCGCTTGTACTCTGAAGAAGAACTTGGCCCCAATCGCCGGCAGCACTCAACATGCCTCGCGCTCAACCGTCCCTTGTACCCCGTTTGGGCAGGGCTGAGGATCAAATGAGGAACTAGCTTCTCGAACACAGTGGCCATAGGCTGAGAACAGTGATGGCCAAAGCTCCTGGATACAGCTCCTTATTAGGTAGACCCTTTGTGCTCCGTCTGTCGGAGGGCAGCCCGTTGTTCTACCTGGGCATATATGCTAATGGGCATCAGTATCGGTTTGTTCAGCGTCCCTCAGCGCCACAGTCTCCTCAGTCTCACTACTCACTGCGCTATCTTGATTTGAACATGGACTTCTGTGCACCTATGCCCCCTCCGCTTTCGGCTCTTGAGAGCAACCGTGGCTCGAAGCCTCGCGTCCGCAAGGACTCAGGATCCTCCAAATCATCGTCGTCGTCATCATCATCCTACTCATCCGACAACGATCTCCTCGCTCAGCTCCAGGGGTTGTCACGCCCCGATGGGCGCACCTTCCTGCGCAAGTTTGACAAGCGTCGGGACGAGGACCGCCTCGCGATATGTGAGTACGCCTTGAAGCGTACGCGCCTGCATATACTAACAAAGATATCGCCAGTGCGAGTACTATACCCTGCTGGTGTCCCGCGCGATTTCCGGGACCGCCTGCTCAGTGACTACGAGCAAGCACCACTGGGCACCATTGACACGATATGTGAGTAGCATTCCATACATCTACTCGAATCATGTTGACCGGACCCCCGCAGATGACATCTTCAGTGCAACCAAAGGCCATGCAGCGCGCCGCCTTGGTTTCTTCCGTCTATGAACCACATACTACCCTATATCCTTACCTTAGTCTTGTACATGTTGCGCGCGGGTCGACGCCTATACACTCCTTTTGAATGAATGCACACTCTAAAGACTTGCAAGCACCGTTACGGTGGGATGAAGGCTCGGACAAAGCGTGCTCACGTCAGCCGTGCAAGACAATAAGGACGGCATGCTGCTCGCATGGCAGCGCGTCGTGCCAGCCAAACCCGTCTTTCCTTCTCGCCATGATCATGCCCAACCCAGTTGACATTCTTACTTTACCCCGCGCGAGCCCAATGACGGCGATTGGGAGAGGTCTTCGTATGACTGTGGCGTTTGGCTAGGAGGCACGAGGTTCGGTACGCTTTTGAGATTCTTGTCTGTACTTGCATTCGGTGGCACCGTGACGCGCCGACTGTGTAGGCTTTGCATTGATTTCGCCTGCGGTTGTCCCAGGTCAGACACAAGTCGTTATCCGTACGGCCAGTAGGACAACGGACTTCCTGGCTTGAACCGGAGCGCGAGAGTTTCGCTGGGCTGCCCGCTCGAGGACAACTTTCCCTGGGCGGGTCCCTTCCCCCTCTGCTCTTCGTATCTTTCTTGGATGCGCCCTGTACTGTCATAGAGTTGCCAGGCCCGATAGTACTTGTCCCTTTTGGGGTGGAGGGGCTTGTTCTCCAGCTGGTCACTATCGCGCATATAGTGCGCCCGACGTCTATTTCGTGCTTTCTGACGTTCAAGCGGCCCCGATATCCTCCACCGGCCCGTCGCAAGCTCAAGAGCGCGCGGATGGGCTGCCACGGTTACCTATCGCGCCGCGTGTAGGGTACGAGATTACCGTGGGGAGAAGCTTGCAGCATCCGCCATCAGCTAGGGGCACGCTGATGAGAACTTCTGAACAGACTTTGTGCCTGATATGCACGAATGGAGGCGCAGCGAGCACAACGGGATGGCCGAAAGTGGAAAGCCCAACGAACTCACAAGACGTACAGAGGGTGCGAGCCTGGGTACGCCGACGCTTCGCCAGATTAGGGTCGTCCTTTCAACCCGGTCATAGAAAGAAGCGCTGTGGAAGATTTGGATTGCGTTGCCCACTGCTGCTCCGCCCCTCCCTCAAGCACTGCCCGGACAGTGATCTGCGCGGCCGCGATCCCGCCCCTCCTTCCCTGCGCTACCTTCCGTTCCCGCTCAATCTGCTGGCAGCCATGGTCGACACAAACGTTGTTTTCTCGGCGGTGTCGATGATCACCTTCGTGCTCTGCATGATCCCGCTGTATTGGCACGCGCAATGTGCGTATACGTATCCTAACCTCGATGATTCAATCACTGACGGCTGTTTAGCATGGAACATTGGAACGTGCATGTTCATTATGTGGTCGGGTCTTGGGACGCTGGTCTGGGGCATCAACTCAATCATTTGGCACAACAATGTGATCAACTGGGCCCCCGTCTGGTGCGACATCGCGACGAAGTTCATCCTCGGGACATCGATCGGTATCCCATTCTCTTCAATGGCTATCAACCGTCGTCTGTACAAGATATCCTCGGTGCGGGCGGTCATGATCACTCGCTCGGAGAAACGCCGCGAGATGGCCATCGACTTCGGCCTTTGCCTCGGTGTGCCCGTGCTAGTCATGATTCTTCGTGCGTGCCATTTTCACTTCGTGTACGTCACTTGGCTTACATATTGTACAGATTACATCGTTCAGGGTCACCGCTTCGACATCTACGAGGACGCGGGTTGCGAGCCCGTCACCTATAACACGCCCGCGGCATTCGTTCTTGTCTATATGTGGCCTCTCATCTCCGGCCTTTTCGGCGCGTTCTTCTGCAGTACGTCAATTGTTGAGATGGACTCATGGCTAGAGACTAACGGTTTTCCAGTTATGTCAATTTGGAACTTCCAGAAGCGTGGTCGCCAACTTCGCGAGGTCCTGTCTACACACTCGAACCTCAACACGTCGCGCTACATCCGCCTTATGTTGCTTGCCTCCATGGAACTCTTCGCGAACTTCCCTTTGACGATCTACATCATCTGGCGTAACGCGACGCAGTATGAGGTGTTCCCGTACATCTCCTGGTACAACGTCCACGTCGGCTTTAGCAAGGTCAATCAGTACCCTCGCATCCTTTGGGGCGACGACCCGGAGCTTGTTTCTGGCATCGAGATGCAGCGTTGGTTGACGGTCGCCTGCGCATTGGTCTTCGTCCTCTTCTTCGGCTTCGCTGATGAGGCACGCAAGCACTACTCCAAGGCGTACACCTCCATCGCCAGCCGTCTTGGTCTCACCACGGTCACGGAGAGCTCGTTCGCAGACTCTCGGTATGTCGTATCTGTTTTCCGCTCAATATATGCTTGTCTGACACTGCCGTCAGCTACGAGTCCAAGGGCGTTGCCGTCCATATATCGACGAGCGGTCCGACGATCAGGCGCGATTCGTTCATGTCCGGCCTGTCCACCAACATCTCACTCGGCGATTACGACGAGTCGTCCTTCGTCAAGAAGGACGAGGAGAAGGCAGACTCGCCTACGGACACCGAATCGACGAAGTTCTCGCCGACCGACTCGGTACCTTCGTCATCATTCGCCCAGCTCCCGCATTTGCCGCAACACCCCGAGCACGCTCACGTTCGCCCGGAGTCCGAGATCCTTGCCGTCGATCACCACATTCGCGGGGCGGAGGCCGTCTAAGCCGTCGCGCGCTCGAATTCCGTCATTCTTTTACCCTACCTTTCGTTTTCACCTCACTCTTCGCGGTTGTAATCACTCAAGTGCTCCCCCTCGTCCTCGCCTTACGTCTCATGCGACATCTTCACTCATGTCTCCCGCCCTGGTTACCTCCCCTCGTCTCGACCCCTGGTGTATTTCTAGTCCGCGCAGCGACGCGCATACCCCCTCCTCCCTCTCCCCTGCGCCTCATCCCTACAGTGTATTACCTTTGCTCACGGGCCTCCCATCATATGGGCGCCCTAATGTAGCTGCAGTCAGTGGAATGCATACTAGACTCTCGAAAACTCAAACCCGAGTGATGCACAATGTCAAGTCAAGAACTGCGCGAAGGCTGGTACTACTAGGCAGTCCCTATTCAACGCCGGCGGTTTAGATTGCACAGCAGTACTGTAAGTAGACCAGTCATGTACGATAGTCGCTCTGCCTCGTGTACCTAGTATGCTACGGCATTTGCCGTGCCGGCCACCGCAGCTCAGCCTCTGACACACCGTCACACCGCTTCTCTTCTTGCGTTTCCCATCGATCTCGTCTCGTACGTTTCGCGCAAGCAGCTCTCATGTCAAACCGCCTGGATGCTATCTTGTTATGCTGTTCTGCAGGGTGATCAACCTTGCTTCAGCCCGAGCCCGGACTTCTCGCCTCCCATGAGAGAAAGGCTCCCTCCAGGCTGCTGCTGGCCCAGGCGCTAGCGTCGTCATTGTTCCGTGGCACCTTAAGCTTCAAGTCCTCGACCCCGCGCCGCGCGGCCAGACCATTCCGCTCGCAGCTATCGCGGCTCCCACGCAATATGGAGCGTTGTGGGGCGCGCGATCCTGATATTCGTGATATCTTTCTGCTCGCGGTCTTTAGTCGGCTTGAAGGGTATGAGGGGCACGTCTAGGGCTCCATTTTCGTCAGGCCCATCGCCGGACGGCGCTTGCGGCATCTTTGCAGATGCTCCCCTCTTACGCTCCCGCTCGCAGGCTCGGTCTGGACTGCCACCTTACACGTGCCATGCATTCTCTTATGAACCTATAATGGATTGGGCGGGCTGTGGTGCTATAACTTCGCAGCCCTCGCCCTTCCTCGCCCCGCTCCCGACTATCCCGCCGGGCATACAAAAGCCCTTGCACTTCCATCTGGCCTACTCTCTCTCGTGCACTGCCTCGCCTACCACAACCATCGCTGCCGCACCGTCTCCCAATGCCGAAGCCTTCGGACAACTTGAAAACTTTGCGCCGCTACAGCACTTGCATCTTCGAGGATCTCGTCACTCCGGAACGGCAACGTGCTATCGACCGATGCATCGAGCAGAACGAACGCGTCATGCACTTCCTGCAGGAGACCGCAGAGTCGAACCCTCATCCCAACCGGCCAATGGTGGTCGATTTCAACCTCGCGCTGGCTGCATTGAAGGAGTGCGTTCACACGCGCGGACTTCACCAAACAGATGCTGATCTTTGCTGTGCAGATCATGGGCGCTCCTCGACGATGCTGCCAGAGCAGATGTGCAGGGTCAGCGGTGGAAGACCGCCAGGCTGCTTGTCGCCGCTGCAGAGTTCAGCGACCGTGCGCGCAGTTACCAAAAGGTTAGTCTTCGCTCTCAGACGGTTTCGAACGTTCGCCCATACCCCATACCCTACCCCCTTTTCTCTGCTCCACGATTTGCAGGGTTCACGGCTGACCCTATCTCAGCTTATACAGACGGAGGACCCTCAGCGCTCGGGGGAGAGCATTCAGAGCAGCAGCTCAAGCTCATGACGCCCACGGCGCCACCCAGCGTCTTCTGTCAGCACCCTTGTCGCCACACCATCTTGGCTTTTCGTTCTTTGCTATCTAATATCCCTATGTTCATTCCCATCGGATTCAATCGCATGCTGCACTGTCTTGTCTGTCATCATCCCACATCTCTGTATTGCGACACCTTTCCACACCATACACGCCGAGCTTTGTATAGATGTAACGACCCCGCGACGAATAGAATTAATTGGAAGATCCGGAAACTCTGGCATGCTGTTCAGCGCAGCCAGCAATACGTTTGCGTCTGGCAAGATCCGTAACATAAGGCGTCGTGGCCGTTGTACACCAGGCGGCCGAGGCTATGCCAAGATATGTATTGACGATCTTGAACCCCCTTGTGCATCGAGTAAACAACATCCGGCCGCGGGTCATCCGAGTCGTCGGCACTTCCGATGAGTCGGGGTGCTCATAGCGCGGCGTCGTCGAGCGCGAAGGTCTGGGCCAGCGACAAAGACCACCTCGACACGGCTACTCGTCTCTACGGCTAGCCCTGGGGCTCTTTAATATTTACATCCTCCAAGGGAACCCATGCCAGGCCAGAACGCCTGATGATCGCAGAGTGGCCGCCATTGACGTCCTTCTCCGTCTTGAATCTTATCGAGAGCCTGCCTCTCTTCGTAGCTAGCGCGTGCAGATTGCGCCCCGGGTTCTTGACCAGGGCTTGACTTCTGGCGGTGGACACTGTACGATCTGTGCAGACGCGATCACCCTCGGGGCGGGCACAGATGAAGGGACGGGAGAAGCAGTTGACGCTGTTGAAACATTACCCTGAACCTCGCACTTTATGACCGCCGTTCGAGAAGACGGGCTGTTTGTACACACGCAGCTTCCAAATCAGATCTCGGTAGGGAAAGAGAGCTTACGAGTACACAGGTCATACTGATGGATGAGGGATCGGGCCGATTCAACGGGCCACACCATTCGCGTGGCCCGAGGCGCGCATTGGGGTTTTTGACGTGCCCGAGCCATGCCCGCACCGCCGCCACCCACCACCTCCTCACTTATTCAGCACAACACGCGTAAGTATGACAAGGGTATGTATACCAGCATAGGCTCCTAGTAATCCGATCGAAATCCATCGACATGAAAGAACATTACACAACGTTTCAACCAAATACTCCGTGATATCGCATAAAGAAAGGAAGAAAAAGAGCCTGCCGCTCAAGCGCTCACGTTGGACCCTGCTTTGCCACGCACACCAATGGGAGTCGCTCATGCGCCAGTGGTAACAGTGATGTCAGCTGAACCGCTGCTCTGGTAGCCTTCCGTCGCGACGATCTGGTAGTTGTGTGTCCCAAGGTTGAGCCCGAGGCTCTTCCAGGCGTTGAAGTGGTTCGCTACGGTCACGGTGCCGCCCGTACGCTTGCTACGACGAATACTCCAATATTGGACGAAGGTACTTTTAGGGTTTGAAGCAGCCCTGGTAAGTATAGGAGCCTTTGGAGGAGATCGGAGACTCACGCGGTGCCCTCAATCGACGGCGCGTTCACCCTCTGCGCAGTGTAGATGTCATATCTATCTCACGTATCAGCATAAGGCCATGCATGTCAAAAGGTGCAGAGAGCTCACGTGGATCCGTCGGAGGTAACAGTACCCTTCAACGTGCCAGCCGATCCCGGGTTATACACACCGTAGTTCTCCACGATGTAGTACTCAATCAACGGGTTCTCCGTCCAACCATAGACAGACAGGTACGCATTCACGGTAGCGCCGTTCCAGGTACCAGTATACGAGATTGAGCTTCATGTGAGGGGAGAAATCAGTACTGTCTATGAGTAGGACAAGAGCGAGAGGCCTCACTGGCTAGATCCCGGGTTCCAACCCTTGCCTGCGACAAAGTTGTTCGCACTCTGCCAGGACACACTATACTCTCCGGCGTTTCCGTTGTTGTATGTCACGGTACCGCCAGCATTGTCGGTCCAGAACGAGTAGTAGTAACCGTTGTTGGTACCAGTGCCACTCGTGGTCAAAGCCGCAGAGCGCGAGATCAAGTTCTCGGTGATGTTGAGCCCTGGCGCAGCGACCGCCGAACTGACCAGCGCGAGCGAAGCAACGGCGAAGGAACGAAGGCTGAACATTCCGGCGGGTTGTAGAGGCCGAGTCTAGCACAATGCTCTTAAATATGCCGTCCAGCCTGACCCCGGGCCGGGCAATGTTGCACGTTGGCGTGACCTCATCCGAGACAACGCGCGACTGGAGATGATGCAGCGCATGCTCGAGGTCGAAGCCGTTTATCCGAGCAACTTCCATGGCGACCAATGCGCGCGAGGTGTGGGCGGATGTATAACGCGTAAAGGCCGGGTGTATGCGGGGCCAAGACAGCCCATGTCCCGCGAGTAGAGGTAAAGAACAGCGCGGGGTTGTGTACGCTCGCTGGTCAGCTGGTGGGTGGGGTAGAGTCCGAGGGCAGAGAGCGAAGTCTAACTGTAAGAGGTGCAGGGCTTCTGCCGAGCCCAGAAGAACCGTCAAGTGCGGCTGTCGTCAGCAGTACGGATGCACGCGCAACAGGCAGTCACTGCGATAGAAAGATCGCGCCAAATTGCAGAACTCAACCTCAGTCACCTGCGCCATTTTATCCGACACATGCAGGTGATGTAGCCGAAGAATATGCCATACCTATTCGACAGTATCATGGCGCACCCATCTCTTGTCAGAAGACGCAGCGGCCGCGATCTACTATATGATCCCGGGAAGAAAGACACCGACGCCGGATCCGCATTCGGTAACATGGAAACAACCCGATATACGCAGTCCCGCTGTGGTCCGTTCCAACTAGGCATCACTGTCAGAAAGAGAATCTCTTAGAGAGACGGCGATGACTACGTGCGAAGGCAGCAAGTAACTTATATGCAGAACATCGTGGTTGAGAGCAGCGCCGAACGCGCGCCGGAACGCTCGCGCCGAGAGCGTGGGAAGATCAACACGAGGCTACGAGATTTTGTGCGCGCGACGAGAACGCGCCATTGCCCCTGACCTCCCATGCACGACAAACATAGCTGCTTACGATTAGTAACTACGGTGCGCCAATAATCAAGGCTACGATAGAGAATAGGCAACAGTGTAGTCGCTCTCAGGCTATCTATCGACTACTCAGCACTCGCGACTTAGTAAATCCTGAAGAGTTTCAGCTTGAATGGGAGCACATACGATCATACACTAATCAAAGTACAGCGAGCGATCAATCACAAACTACATTGCCGTCGCCTTTTACACCCAGAGACAGCTCAGTCATCCCAAAATCAAAGATTAACTTCGCGAAAACTCGAGCTCTCTACAAGCACTGAGAGTAGTACGAGTTAATAACGGTGCAAGTGAATGGAGAGGCGCTGTAGAGCTTCTATCAGCTGAGAAACTCGGAATGTGAGGTTGACATACCACGAGGTCGCGCCGCTCCAGCCGATGCCGCCGCATTGCCCGTAGTGCGCGGCGCCAGTGCCAGAGGGAGCGGTGGCCGTCGTCGTCGGTGCCGGGGCTGTGCTGCCTCCACCAGTGCCTCCACCAGTTCCACTACCACTGCCAGTACGGTCGCTGCTGACGGTGATGTCAGCTGAACCGCTGCTCTGGTAGCCTTCCGTCGCGACGATCTGGTAGTTGTGTGTCCCGAGGTTGAGCCCGAAGCTCTTCCAAGCATTGAAATGATTTGCCACTGTCACAGTACCACCCGTACGTTTGCTCCTACGTATGCTCCAGAACTGGGTGAACGTACTTTTAGGGATTCAGACAGCCCTGGTGAGTACAGGAACACTTGGAGGAGATCGGAGACTCACGCGGTGCCCTCAATCGAAGGTTGGTTGACCCTCTGCGCAGTGTAAATGTCATATCTTTCAAATACGTGTGTTCAGATACACTGTCAGGTCTAGAGAGAGAGAGGGCAATGCTCACGTAGAGCCGTCAGATGTCACAGTACCCTTCAACTGGCCAGCAGAGCCCGGGTTGTACGAGCCGAAGTTCTCGACGATGTAGTACTCGATGAGCGGATTCTCAGTCCAACCGTAGACGGAAAGATACGCATTCACGCTTCCACCGTTCCATGTTCCGGTGTAAGAGATGGGGCTTCGCAGATCACAGTAGTCAGAGGATAGCAGGGAGCGGGACACGATCGAAAGACTCACTCGCTAGATCCCGGGTTCCAGCCTTTACCAGCAACAAAGTTGTCCGCGCTCTGCCACGTCACGCTGTACTCGCCCGCGTTACCGTTGTTGTAGTTCACGGTGCCGCCAGCATTGTCAGTCCAGAATGAGTAGTAGAAGCCATTATTGGTGCCGGTGCCGCTCGTCGTCAGAGCCGCGGTGCGTGAGATTAAGTTCTCGGTGATGTTCTGACCGGGCGCGGCGACCGCCGAGCTGGCCAGCGCGAGCGAGGCAAAGACCAAAGAGCGAAGGCTGAGCATGCTGTCGAGGTGTAGAGTCTGTGTTTGACCATACACACTCTTAATATACAGCCCAGCCTGACATCGGTCCGGACAATGTCGCGCGTTGCATGACGTGCCTGCTCAAGGGCGCACAGCCATTTATCCGAGCAAATTCCAGGTTACAAGGCTTGTGCGGATGTACAACGCGTAAAAGCCGGGGGTACGCGGGGCCAAGACAGCCCATGCCGCGCAGATCGTGACGGCGAATAGTGTGTTTGTTGAATGCGCGTACCAGTCAGCTGGTAAGTGCGGTGGGGTTTGAGCTGATTTGAGGCAGAGTTCGAAGCCTAAGCGTAAAAGATCAAGGAGCTTCTGCCGAGGGCAGAACACCGTCATGCACAGCGTAAAGTCCTAAAATGTCTTGATAAGGATCTGATCAATTGCGGCTGTCGTCAGCAGTGCCGATGCATGCGCGAGGCGGCCAATGTGATGGAGGGACCACGCCAAAATTGCAAAGTTCGACCTCAGTCACCTGTAGCTTTCTCCGAGAGCACACAGATGGGTGTAGCCGAGGAATAGGCCACTGTACCCCATCGGCAAGAGGGTACGTTTGTAGCAGGTCTCCTTCGCGTCAGAAGCAGCGGCATCTCGGTCACTCAGTCTGCAATCCCGACATGGAGGAAAGCTGCCGAGGCTGCATTATGTTGGGTATAGAGACGATACGGCCAGACTGGATTGAACGTCCATGTATGACTAGAGGCAGAGACAGAGACCAGATGTCTACAGATACGACAATGAGCGCAGGTCATCGTGATCGGAAAGAACGAACATGCGGGTGATGTCGGGCACGGCGGACCTCTCGCGTGGGAATGCCAAGTAACATGAGGCTAGCGCTTTCAGAACGCGGTACAGGCCACCATTTCTCCGAAGGCAAGACATATTGTCATTGAGGAATGCTACAGTAGAGAACCTAGAGCGGAGTCTAGCTATGGATACAGCAGGGGTTGCAGAAACGAGCACAAGCCAGATGGTGATGGTAACGCTGGAAGAAACGAGTGGGGATACAAGGGAGAGCAACGAAGCGACACGAGTTGGACGAAGGGAGTGTCTCCAAAGACAACGATTAGGCACTGGACGAGGCTAACGACAGAAGGTGGTGAACGGACAAAACAGAAACGAGTCCAGTATGAACAGATGAGAGGAACTATACGATCGTCCCGAACGACTCGGTGCCCGCATCCGAGCGCGTCATGAGGGGATCTTCACTCCATGTCGAGTACGTCTTCGCCGACCGTGGTGTATCAGCTTTATGCCTGGGCGCTGCATTGGGATCGACACCCAGGAAGCGCGGAGGGAGCGGCAACGGCTTGTCCGTATCCGCATTCACCGCCGTTTCAGGGTTTCGATGGTCGTTACGGCCTGCAGGCGCAGCGAAGAGAATTGGCGTGGCCGGTGTACGGAGCGCCGGGCTCTCTGGTGGGACGGGCGCGGAGGTGGGTGGTGTGGCGGTCTCGAGGAACGATCTGTGTGCTGTCGGTGTGGGCGTCAAGAAGAAGGACTTGGGCTCGGCGGGGGTTTCGGCGTGGAGGAAGCTATCGTAGTACGTGGGCGAGGAAGGTGTGGGCGGGTACTCGCTCGCCATGGTGGGCGGCAAACCAGATGGCAACGACAGCTGCGGCGTGAGACCGAGGCCGGGCGGGTACAGCGGCCCGCCCGAGCGCTTGTGCGCGTCGCTGTCCTCGGGCAACGTCGGGCTGTCCGCGCGCAATCCGCCGTCGGCAAGCGTGACGGTATCGAGGAACGAATCTATCGTATCCCTCTTCGATTTTATCGTCCGCGAACCCATACTGGTCGCGCTCGTAGGCGGGTACCGATAGCTTTCCTTGTTGACCGAGATGTTCAACTGCGAGGCGTTCATGTTCCCGAAACTGCTCGAGTTGGGCGATCCAGAAGCCGTCGAGTGCGTGAATGCAACAGTGTGTGCGAGGGAGTTGTAGGCCCTGCGGTAGTGCAACCTCGCCTCGTCCGCAAAACCGAAGAAGGCGAAGAACACCAAGGCGCTGATCACTGGCATCCACCGCTGGAGTTCAAGCGTTATGACGGCTGAACTAGGCGTATCCTTACGGAGAGTCTGCGCCACAAACCCGAAATGAGCATGCGTGTCGTCCCACGAGATCCACGGGAACAGTCTGGCCTGTGCGTTCTGATACACCACTTGAACACTGTCCATGAACGAGATCGTAAGGACGATGGTGGTCATGAACATCAAGCGCATGTAGCGTCCTTGGTTGAGCTTCGCGTTGGACGAGGCGAACTCGGCGAACTGTACAGCGCGGTTGCGCAGGTGGTAGTACGCGAGGCCGCCGAAGAGCCAAGAGAAGACGCTGATGATGAAGGGCCAGGGGTAGACGATGAGCCAAGAAACCCAGGTCGGGTAGGTGTTCCAAAAGCAGCCGACGTCTTCCCAGATGTTGAAGCGGTTGGATTGCACGACGACCTCTACCAGTCGATGGACTGTCAGATTGGACCAGACAGCGATAGCGGAGGCAACGTACGAAGGCCCATGTTGAGGATGGGGAGCCCAAGACCAATGGAAATGTCGATGATCATGTCGCGCCGCTTCTCTCCAGGTGTGATCTGCGCGGAGCGCAGCGACGCGATCTTCCACAGACGCAGCATGATCACGAGCACGGCGGCTGGGAGACCGACATTCAATCCTACCATGAAGCGCGTAGCTAAGACAGTTGAGTATTATCAGCTCGGTATGCAGGCTACAGAAAGACGGAAGACGTACAGATATCGCACCAGACAGGCGCAATGTTGGCAACGTTGTGATTCCAGATGATGGCGTTGATCATGGCGTTCAGGCAACCAATACCCGTCCAGAACATGAACAAGCACGTCCCGGCATTCCACGCTGATAGAGTACACATCAGCACACGCTGCTAAAGTATGCTATGTTGAGGTTACATACCTTGCAGGTGCCACCAAAACGGGATGGCGCAGAAGAAGAAGCCGAAGCCGGAGAGGACGATGAAGAGTTCATTAGGAGGCGCAGCCATAGTAAGCAAGTAGTCTAAGCAGTTTAGTTTCCAGTGTATCGGAGTAGTGGTAGTTGGAGTTGATGACGTTCAACACGAATGCGAAGGGTTTTGGAGAGGGTGGAGGTGAATGCAGCCGTGCGGTAAGAGGGGAGAGGCACAACGAAGAAGCCACCGACATGGCCAGTCGCTAGTTTATGTGGTAGAGCTTAATGGCCACTCGACCAAATCGGGCGATTACCTTGTCAACTGGATTAGTGAAGTCGCCCTTGTACTTCGTAGCACGCAGAGATGGCCGGCGTTCTTACGTCCTAGAACGTCGCGCGCCTCGCTTCCTATTTTGGAAGTGCTTGTTTGAGGCGACTTTGTTCTGTATGTGAGGGCGCTTTGGCATATACACGCGGGTGATATGAGTCGCTAAGTGATCGCACAGAGACAGGGCATCTTTGTCGAGGTGATGAGTCTAGACGATGGAAATCTTGCGAGGGAGGAGGACATGATCACAGCCTGCGGCCGCGCTGGCCAGGGCGGACAACGGCCGGTTTGATGCGCAGAATTGATGGCGGTGAAGCATGTTCTCAGCTGGTCAGTTCGGTAGCGCGATGATACGTTTCAGAGGAGATACATGTACGATCGATATCGACGCCTCCAGCAAACTTTGCCCTCGGGCAGACGGTGAGTTCAAAAGACAAGTGGCGGTCGCGGTGACGCGGCGCAGTACAGAGTTGGTCGGCGCTTGTTCCCACGAGAATATCTCCGCCAGAATTTATTCGTTCCTTCCGGGATTCAACGCAATGACCGCTGTTCATACGCTATGAAGCTACGGGCGTCTCGAAGAAGTGACGGACCTGAGAGTACCGGCTAACCCACAAGTCAGATCGGCCAGGCCCACAAACAAGAGCGTGACGACACGCGCCGTCACACAGCATCGCGAACCACCAAGCACGCGGGAACCGAGATGAACGAGCGCGCTCCGCCGCCGCCACACCTTGGCTACGCCCACCACTAACTCTCTCCTCCTATCCCATCCTCTCGACCATGATGGACGTAGACATGGAACCGAGCTCTCCCGTGCAGGTTACGGGCGCCAAACGTCGACGGGAAGACGAAGATTGCGATGCACACTCGGACTTTGCCGAAGACCGCACTGTGGCCAGTCTGCCCCGACGAGCCAAACGGCCAGCTCTGGACCCTTCTCTCGCAACTCAGACCGCCTCATTATCACTTGCGACACCACCGCTCTCGCCGTTCTCCTTACACATTCGCGCCTCTTTCAGACCCTATTGGTTCCCAGACGGCGACGTGCTGTTGGTTGTGGCCGACCACATGTTCAAGCTCCCTAGAGCGATACTGAGCTGCTCGGAGATCTTCGAGGATATGTTTGCGCTGGCCGACCCGTGCGCTGGGATGGGGGTGGGTGGGAGTGAGGAGGAGATGTTCGAGGGGTGTCCGGTCGTTCATTTGGATGATCGGCCGGGAGATTGGATGGTCCTGTTGCGGTGGATCGACAACCCCGAGTGAGTAAGAGTTTGCTATTCTCGGTGCAATAAGTATATATACTTATTTTGTTCAAGACAGTTCTGGGAGGACGAGGTGCCGTACGAAACGCTCGCCGGCGCACTGCGGCTGAGCACCAAGTACGAGATTGCGAGTCTACGAGAGAAAGCGGTGAGAGCCGTGATCAAGATCTGGCCTCGGGAAGACAGGATGAGACGGCTGGACACTACTGCATTCAACTCGCATCGAGTGGGTGCGTCGAAACTCATTTCACGGCCTTCGAATGACGCATGACTAATTCACTGTGCGAAATAGACGCCATCGCGCTCGCACGGCAATGTGACCTACCTGAGATCTTGCCGTCGATATTCTACTCGTTCGCTATCGAGTATCAATCCTTCCCATCGTTATCACCTACGCTAGACCCTTGGGACGCTCAACGCATCCTATCCGCCGTCTCCGCCTTGCAAGACTTTCTCGACCGCGCCACATCCTACGTCCGCAACAACATTGGCTCCGACCGTTGTCCAGGTCCATCAATACACTGGGCGACCGAGCTTGAGCGCGACGTCGTGATAAACGGCAGCGGTTCAAGGGTCAAGCAGAAGCACTGGTTGTTAAGGCTTGCGAAGCATGCGTACAATCGGCAGGAGATCGATGCCTTGGACGCATGCGAGGAGTGCAGGGTTGGGTATTATCGATTCCTATCGGACGGTCTGTTGAGGAAGTTGGAGGTGGAGATGCCCGCTTGGTTTGGGCTTTGAGCGAGTACAGAGTCGGACGCTTTCTTTCTCATTTTTTCCTCATGCTACCGCACATACACCTTGCTATCGCCGCGCTTGTCGTCACGTTTATATATTCGCTGTCTCTGCACATCCCCATGCCCGTCTTTGCATACATTATCTTCTGACTACTCAATCTTGTACTTGCTCCGCTTGTCAATACATCTGCTACCCACACCCTATACACAACTGACACGCTCGAGCCGAAAGGAAAGCCGCCATCACGCATCACCGGCCCGCGCCTCCGAAGACGCGACGCGCGTTCTCATCTCGAACGCGTCTGTCTGCACGCGTCTCCACCACCAAGTTCACGATCACCACCATGGCCTCCTCCCAGACACAACCAAAACCTCCAAAGCTCGACGTTGACGCGTATCTTGCGACTGCGCTCTCTAGCACTCCGTCGGAGCTGCACCCATATTTCCAGGCTTTCCAGGATCTGCATTCGCGCAAGTACGTACTGCGATCTTCACTGTTATGACTTGCCCGAGTATACAAAATATTGACTGGGACTGTATCTGGTCAGGCTATGGCATCAATTGACGAACAAGCTCGCCGAGTTTATTGACCATCCACTCGCGCAGCCTTACCGCACGGATGTATTCCGCCAATTCGTGCGTGACTTTGAGGAGCGGTTGAACCCATTGCGTCTAGTCGAGATGGGTGCAAAAGTCGCAGAGGATATCGACAGTAAGCTTATACATATATATGCCACATCATATACTGACGCGCCACAGACCCCGCGCAGCATCTATCCTTCTTGACCGACCTCCTCGCACGTGTACCAGCCGACAAAGCCCCAGAGGCCCATGTATTGCTGCTCTCCACTCTCGCCCACGCCAAACTCTCTTTCGGCGCGCCGGACGACTGTCGGTCCGACTTATCCGCAGCTCAGACTGTACTTGACTCCCTGCCCTCGGCCGCGCCGAGCGTGAGCGCAACTTACTACCGCGTCGCGGCGGACTACCACAAGGCGCGCGCGGAGTACGCTCCGTACTACAGGAATAGTTTGTTGTTCCTTGCTTGTGTGGATGTGAATGAGATGGGCGAGGAGGAGAGGGTTGGGAGAGCGCACGATCTTGGAATCTCGGCATTGCTTGGGGATACGATATACAACTTCGGTGAACTGGTTAGTGTTCAAGCGTTAGAGCAGACTGGTGGCCGCATTACTGATGCAATGCATCGGCGCAGCTTTTACACCCGATTCTCGACGCGCTGGATAATACGCCGCACGATTGGATCAAGAAGCTGCTGTTCACCTTTAACGAGGGCAACATCGGCAAGTTCGAGGCTCTCGCGCCGGTCTTCCCGAAGGAGGTCTGTATTCACCTGCATCTATACCCACACAGCCGCCCACATGAAATAAGCGCCCAAAACTGACTCTTCATCCCTCGTTTGACAGCCCATCCTGCAGGAGAACTTTGCATTCCTCCGCCAGAAGATCTGCCTTATGGCGCTTATCGAGAGTGTTTTCCGCCGACCCTCATCGCAGCGCGTCTTGACGTTCGCTACCATCGCCGGTCCGTGATGTTCTGCCTCCTTTGTACCTTGACAGCAAGCTGACGTGTGTTTCATGATGTATAGAGGAGACGAGGCTCGCGCTGGACGACGTCGAGCATCTCCTGATGAAAGCACTCGCGTTGAAGCTCATCCGAGGAGAGATCGACCAGGTGGACTCGATCGCGCGGATCAGCTGGGTACAGCCCAGAGTGCTCTCCCGCGAGCAGGTAAGAGCCTACATGCTTTCATTCAACGATATAAGAGAAGGGCTGACTGTGTTCTGTCTTTTTTAGATCGGCATGTTGGCGAAGAGGCTGGGCGAGTGGGGCTCCCGGTTAAGGAACGTCGAACAGAGGGTGGCACCAGGCGTGCTCGTCAGCGTTTAGGTACAATGTGAGCCGTTGGAAAACTGTATACTTGAAACATCCTTGGGATCGTTACGATGCATGGATACGGACTGAATCCGATCATCATAGACCCGGACTGTCCGTGTTGGTGGCAACGAATGGCTAGCGAGAATTGGAATGTGGCGAGCGATCCGTCTACTTACCGCGCTGAGAGGCGCCGCAATTGTATACAGATGAAGCTCGCTAATCGGTCCGACTTGGTATATGCCGACTGCACGCTCTCTTGTTTGTTTGACGGTTGGTATTCGGCGCTTGACTGCTTGTTCGGTGAAACTGCGAACCATGGCGAGGGAGGAGAGCAATGTTGGTAGCCCAGGCAAGGTTCTGTGCTTACCTCCGAATCCCGTGAAGACCCAAAACAACGAGGCTGACGCTCTTGCCTTCTTGCATTCGGGCCGGGATTGGATACAGTGCATGCGGAGACGATCACCATCACCTAGTCCCGTATCCCGTATCCCGGTTCGCTTGCATGCATAGATGCCGTGCGCCAGACCGATAGTTCCGGGTAGTGAGCATCTAGTACTGTCAAGTTGGACAGCCCGCTCTTGACCCCGACTAGCGAGAACGAATCCGGCAGGCGTCTTCCCATGCAATCATCTCAACTCGTACTTGTGGCACTAGGGCGTCTATCGTCGCGCACCGGTGCCACATGATGCGCGGATGTCCTTACTCGCTGTCCTGACTCAGTACGCTCAGACTGCGTGGTGTCATCGCTACAAACTTCTCGTATGAAGTGCGAGTAGAGGCTCGGTTGAGGTACTCCGGGGCCCCTGGCGTTAATGACCACCCGCGTCTGCTTACGCGTTCTCTCGATCTAGTGAACGCGTGAGTAGCGGCACGAGGCGCCAGTCGTCAGTGCTGAGTGCTAGATGAGGCCTATAATCACAGAGCGCTTGAACTGTATCATGAAGTCCATCGCAAGACCTCGTTCTTCTGCGTACCGCCGGCGTATGCGTCATTGAGACTTCATATCCCAGAAAGTCCAAGTTTGGGCGCCAAGTTCATCTCAGAGTGACAAACAGCTTCGAAAGCACGCTCACAAAGGCCCGCTCGCACTGCGCTGCAGGACTGGGATGACGCGTTTGAAATAGCCTGGGTTCAGGCTGGATGAAGCATGCGAAGTACAGTGCTACAATCTCCGCTCCTGGTCGCAGTATCTCGCAGCCATGATCGAGAGGTGGGTGGTATGGAGAAGCTTTGTTTGAACGATCCGACTGGTCGTAAGCTTCTTAATCGACGGGGTGCGGTACCGGCAACTTGCCAGATAAATCTGATTGACCGGTAAATTGCCGGCCCAGGCCTCCAGCGGCGACATCTTTGGTACAAAGAAACATGTAGTCCATCATACCGCCGATCCTCGTAACCGTATGCTACGAGTACGCAAGGAGAACTTGTGTGTCCGGAATGTCCGGGACGACTTGGGCGCTTAAAGCAGCGATACTTGCCACAGGCGCGCAAGCAGGATTGGGCGAGGGCATAGCATGAGAACGGCTATCTATCACTTAGACGCCGGGCCAGGCCGCCTTATCGTGCAAAAAATAGGCATATGAGCGTTGATGCGGATGGGAAAGGGCGCGCCGAACGTACCTGGGTTAACACCGCCGGCCATGTTGTTGTTGTGCAGCGCACCTGAGACACACAGCGTGGACGTCAGCGTGTATTTCGACGCTCTGATGTCGAGGGTTCTGAATTGCGTTCCGACCTCCGTATATTATCAACGCACTAAGCGAGGTGCCGGTTCGCCTTGCTTCTTCTTGACCCAGACCCAAGTGCTGCCCAAGTGAATTCACGAATGGCCGCCCTCGCGTTCAGGCTGCTCTTCGAGGCGCTCGTCCTCCTCGTGTTCTCTACCGTCTTTGCGAACGTCGTTCAGGTCTGGCTGCACGGACGCGCCAAGGTCCGCGCCCTTCGCGGCGTCAGCGGCCCGCCTTCCAACGGCTTCTTCTTTGGCAACTTGCGCCAGCTGCTGTTCAGTTTTGGATGTGGGCCTGCGTATAATGCGGTGGCGGAGTACGGAGGGATCGTGAAGGTGGAGGGGCTGTTCGGCGTACGTTCTACTTATTTTGGGATGACAGGTTTCAAGTGCTAACCGTACCAGGACTTCGCGCTGCTCATCTCGGACCATCGCGCGATCGCGCAAATCCTGCTCAAGGACTTTGACAACTTCCCTGTCACGGACATGGGCGGGTCACTCGAGTGCGTTCACGTCATCCTCCCCACACCCCGCATTTCGCTGACCGTTTGTTCGCCGGCGCTTACAGCCTCAACACATATTTCCTCGGCGCCGGCCTGCTCTCGCTCAATGGCGCCCCGCACCGGTACCACCGCAAAGCGCTCAACCCGGGCTTCTCGCCGAAGCATATGCGCAGACTAGGGGAGCTGGTGCGGGATATATGCTGTCAGATCCGCGATATCCTCGTCGTCAAAGCGCGCAGGGGCGCTTGGGAGAGTGGCAGTAGGACTGCCGAGTTCGACGTTGGGGAGGTCATGAACAGGGCGGGGGTGGAGATCGTCTCGCAAGCGAGTTTCGGATACTCGTTCCGTACGCTAGAGAAGGAAGACCCGGAGCAGACGGAGATTGTGCGGGCGGTCAAAGAGATGCTGTACGTCGATCGGTTGCAATCTGTCAACCTTATTCAATCTGACATTACATTCAGTCCCGTACTGGAGATTCTGGGCCCATGGGTGCCAATGTTCATGATCACCGGTGCCACAAAACTACCCCATCGGCTCATACGTCTCCTAGGGAAGACGTTGGGTCTGGTGTGTCCTCCAGTCCGCAAGCTCATGCGCGCTGTGGACGTCTTGCACGGGCAGGCTCGGGTGATGTGGGAGAAGCGGAAGGCGGACTTTGCGGCTGGAGAGGACCCGGATGAGAACTGCGAGCTTCTGAGCACGATCCGTACGTGTCCCGTATCGTCTACTCCTTCTGATCCCAGCGCTCATACGAGGAAATAGTTTGGCAAGGTTACTCGGAAGGCGGTCTGACAGACGAAGAAGTCTGCGCGCAGATGTCCACTGTCCTTTTTGCTGGTTCAGACACAACGAGCACAACGCTCTCCCGTGCATTGCACATGCTCGCGCTGAATCCCCACTGTCAAGACCGACTACGGGAAGAGCTCGAGCGGGCGGAAGTTGTACAGGAGCTACTGCACGGCGTGGCCGACGAACCGGTTTACAACGCCATCGATGCCCTTCCCTATCTGGACGCCGTGTGCCGGGAGACAATTCGCGAATGCACGCCGTTGCCTTTTCGCAATCGACGGTGCGTATACTCGATCATCACCGGTATCTCTATGACAGCCTGCTGATTTCGGCTTTCTTATCCAGGGCACAACGGGATTGCGTTGTCCCGCTGAAGGACGGCTCAAGCGTTCTGATCCCCGGCGGGTCCGAAATACTCATTAACGTCCACGGATGCAATCGGGACGAAGACCTTTGGGGTCCTGATGCTCATCTTTGGAGGCCTGAACGGTGGCTTGAAGAGGAGAGCCTTGTGAGGGTTAAGGAGGCGGCATTACCGGCGGTGTACATGAACTCGTGAGTGCAACTCAGCCTTATCTAAGTTTACATCGTGCACTCGCTGACGAAAATGATCACAGGATGTCCTTTCTGGGCGGCCGCAAGGCGTGCATTGGCTTCAAGTTCGCCCTCCTCGAGATGAAAACGGTATTGGCGACTGTGATTCCTTCTGTCCGTTTCCTACCGCCGGAAAAGCAGGAGATCGCATGGCGATTCGGGCCGGGTGTCACTGTGAGTACAACGGACAAGTTCGACGACCCTCTTCCGCGGATGCCACTGCGCGTAGAAGCGCTATAGGTCCCCCATTCAAGGCTGTTATCTTGTACATGTCTGTCTATTCACGATCATGGCACGCATCGGCGGGACTGGCTTGACCGTTCTCGTATGACCCTCCTACTTTATGCTCCCTATGTACCCCTTATCACTGTACATCTTTGTCCACATCCCCTGATTTTACCCGTACATCTCTATCTGCCCCTATGGTGGACTTGTTGTCTAGTCTTACTTACGGATCCCATACACATGCCTGTGCGATTCGCGCGTCTGTATGTTGCTTGTATGCACTGTAATCGACCCGGAGGCTCTCTTCCGGGCTGCGATATCTTGTCGATGTCATTGTTGACCCAATGTGATTTGTAGCCAGCCCGCCGGCCCGAGGTCCGAAGCTCGGCTTCCGCCGCCGGGAACCTCTCCGCCGCGCGTCTCCTCTCTCCCGAAACAGCCATGCCCAGCGCACGCGTACTCCAATCGTCCACGAACATTGAGCGAGCCTCGTGCTCACACATGCAGTATATTAAAGGCATATGAACTTCGTCACCAGCTCTTGACCAGCTCTCTCAACTCGCTTGGCAAGCGCTCTAGTACATACCGGCTGATCATTAACAAGTGGTGCTGTGGGGCCACCCGACATCATAGAGCGGCAGCCGCCTCTACCGCAAAGGTTTCGGAAGCTACGGAGAACACTTCTTCCATCCGAGCGCGCCACCTCCGTACTGCAGGGCCTGATTACGATGATGCCTCCGTCTACCTTATAACCGGCGCCAGTGTCTGACCGACGTGCTCTTGATTCCCCTCCTTCTCTCCGTTTTCTGTATCATAAGCGGTCTCGGGTTTTCTCACTGAGGATTCTGTGCTACCATGACTTTAGGCTCGTTCCGTCACCACACTTATTGGCATAATGAAAAACGACACTCCTCTAACGATTCGGATTTCACCCATGTCGAGGACTCTACCAAGGAGTCGGAGGAGTTGTGGCGGGAACGACACAATTACTATACGCGCTATCCTAATGCCTGGGCAAGATTTCGGTACGCTTCTTCGTCCTTCACGTCATGGTTCTTGAATTGCGCTAATACGACCTCTAGTGGATACATCCGCGAGCCGGCCGCCGAAGCACTGGGCTGTATGATTCTGAGTACGTCTTTCGTCTGATGACCTGCGCGATTAGCCCCACTCACGCACGACACAGTTCTATTCGGCAATGGTGTAGACTGTCAAGTCGTACTCTCCGGTAACACGGGCGTTGCGCCTTCCGCTAAAGGTTCATACCTATCTATCTCGTTCTTATGGGCTGTTGGTGAGTAGTACTCCCCATTCCTCTATATGACTCTTCTGACGAGCATATCAGGTGCTTCACTCGGTGTATGGTGTTCGGCCGGTATCTCTGGCGGGCACAATAACCCTGTAATCACGCTCATGCTTGCAATCTTCCGCGGATTTCCTTGGAAGAAGGTCCCCGGCTATGTCATCGGCCAAATCTTTGGTGCATGGATGGGCGCGATGCTCACTTATGCCAACTACTTCCACGCAATTGATGTTTACGAGGGCGGGAAAGGCATACGCACTACGCCAGGGACGGCATCTCTGTTCGCTACCTATGCTGTACGCTTAAGCCCCGTCTGTGACCCTTGGAGATGCTGACTGTACTCCAGCTCGACTACCTACCTGCAGCCGCATGCTTCTTCGACGAGGTCCTCGGGACCTTCATCCTGGTGGTGGTGGTGTTCGCCGTTACAGACAAGCGTAATGGCCCGCCTCCCGCTGGCTTGCTGCCGCTCGTCATCTTCATCCTCATCCTGGGTCTCGGCGCTGGTTGGGGTATGCAGACGGCGTATGCCATCAACCCAGCCCGTGACCTTGGTCCTCGCATCATGACTGCCATGGTCGGATACGGACGAGCAGTCTTCAATTACCGGTCACAATACTGGCTCTGGACCCCTATCTGTGGACCGCTTGTTGGCGGCTTCACTGGCGCACTCTTCTATGACCTCTTTATCTTCACTGGCCGTGAAAGCTGGGTCAATCGCCCGTACGTCGTCTCACCTCGTAATGCTGACGGCACATACTCACGGCACATGTTATAGGAACAAGGCAGCTCGCGAACACTTCGCTGAACCCCGTCCGTCCGAGCGCGCGAACCCCATCGCTGGACCTCCCGCCACGCCGGATGCCAACTCGGAAGAGATCGTATAAAAACATTCACCGCCGCGACTCCGCTTTCCTATCTCATATCTATTTACCCCGTCTTGAGATGACACATCGCTATATCCTGCGTTACCTTACCTCGTCTTGTTTCGACTCTGTACTCCGATTGCGAAACCAAATGTATCAATAGCCAAGTGTAATACCACCACATGTATAGTTTGTTTGACCAACCCCTTTGTCGTCTGCATAGCCGTGGAACACCTGTATAAGGAAGCCTGGCAAATCTGATAGTGCGGGAACTCGTTGTCACTGACGGTTCACTGCAGTCACGCGCCAACGCCGCCTCCGGGTTGAGTACATACTTGAGCCTTCAAGCTGTCCTTGTCATCTAAGTACCTCCTGGCTCTGTAGCGAGTTCTTACTCTAGCGATGATCCATTTGAGACGTCTCCCCACGACTACTACGGGTAAATGTGTCGTCGCCGGACGGAACAGCCTTGAACTGACCTCACGTTGACCCCTTCGAAAACTGACTGTTGTTTGCCCACGGCGGC